AGACACAAACTACTGGGGGAATCTCCCCATTGAGGGAGGGGCAGAGACACAAACTACTGCAGGAATCTCCCCATTGTGGGAGGGGCAGAGACACAAACTACTGCAGGAAGCCCCCCCCCCCCATTGTGGGAGGGGCAGAGACACCCCCTTCTGGAAGGAAATCACAGTACCATGGTTACCAAGAACAGCATATAAAAGTTCTATCTGGACATTTCAATGCCTCGCTGAACTGAACTATCAGCTTTGGGTGGAGTTGTCTTCGGACAGAAGCGGTTTGGTCTGCAGACTTCGCTCAGCAGCAGAATATTCAGCTCCCGATATATATATATATTACGTCCCATATCCTCATTTTTCGATACATTTTATATACTGTAGTATACTTTGGTAAACACGATTCCAGTTACTGCCATGGGAGGAAGAGCAGCCAGCTGCACCCGCCCCCGCGGTCCTGGAAACACGGTAAGTGCTCGGTAAGACATCTCATTCACAGAGAGAAGATCAGCAGTCCGTGACTTCAGGGTGCTTAAAGGATCAGTCCACTCGTGTCAGTTGCAAGTGGAGTCTGGCTTGCTCAGCCACCCGTACCCCCACAATGAGTTCTTCCTGCTGGTGGTCCTATATCTGTAGTGTAAAAGACAAATCCAGCAGAGCTGGGACCTCAGGGGCGGAGACCTTAACCTGAGTCCCTTGGGGGGCAGAGACTTAAAACAGAGTCCCTGACCTGTACAGGAAGCCGATAGGTGCTTCTGCAGGCCAGCATCCACCCGCAACTAAAGTATCAACCCTGGACAGCAGTCGTTGTGGATTTCACAAGATCCAGGCTGTCCATTGGCTAGGAGCGTGTGACATCAGAGGGAGGAGGGGAGGAACTAAGTGCTTGAGTGATGTCACGAGCTTCTAGAGAACAGGCAGGCAGCATTTGTAAGGAGACCTGCAGAGAAATGCGGCGGCTTCTACTGTGTTCAGTGGCACAGCGTGGGCTCCCAGCACCCGGGGCAAGGTAAGTATTGTGACCCCTAAACCCCGAGTGAGCACCCCCCCACCCCGTAACCCCCCCCCCCCCCAACTCCATACACCTCCCCACATTATGCAGTCCCCTCACTCCCTTACTGTGCACCTCCAGTCCTTTCATCCCGTTATGGTGCACCGCAACTCCATACATTCCCCCCACATTGTGCACCCCCAGTCCCTCCACCCCCCACATTGTGCACCTCCAGTCCCTCCACCCCCTCACTGTGCACCCCAAGTCCATACATTGCACCCCACATTGTGCACCCCCTCAATGTGCACCCCAATTCCATACATCCCCCCACATTGTGCAGTCCATCCACCCCCTCAATGTGCACCTCAACTCCATACATTGCACCCCACATTGTGCACCCCCAGTCCCTTCACCCCCTCACTGTGCACCCCAACTCCATACATTCCCCCTGAATTGTGCACCCCCAGTCCCTCCACCCCCTCACTATGCAACCCAACTCAATACATCCCCCCACATTGTGCACTCCCAGTCCCTCCACCCCCTCACTGTGCACCCCAACTTCATACATTGCACCCTACATTGTGTACCCCCAGTCTTTCCACCCACCTCAATGTGCACCCCAACTCCATACATCTCCCCACATTGTGCACCTCAATTCCATACAATGCACCCCACATTGTGCACCCCCAGTCCCTCCACCCCCTCAATGTGCACCCCAACTCCATACATCCCCCACATTGTGCACTCCCAGTCCCTCCACCCCCTCACTGTGCACCCCAATTCCATACATTGCACCCCACATTGGAGTTGGGGTGCGCAATGTATGGAGTTGGGGTGCACAGTGAGGGGGAATGTATGGAGTTGGGGTGCGCAATGTGGGTGCAATGTATGGAGTTGGGGTGCACAGTGAGGGGGAATGTATGGAGTTGGGGTGCGCATACATTCCCCCTCACTGTGCACCCCAACTCCATATTTCCCCCCACATTGCACACCCCAAGTCCCTCCACCTCCTCACTGTGCACCCCAACTCCATATATCCCCCCCACATTGCACACCCCAAGTTCCTCCACCTCCTCAATGTGCACCCCAACTGTATACATCCCCCCACATTGTGCACCCCTAGTCCCTCCACCCCCTCACTATGCACCCCAACTCCATACATTCCCCCCATATTGTGCACCCCTAGTCCCTCCACCCCTTCACTGTGCACCCCAACTCCATACATCCCCCCACACTGTGCACCCCCAGTCCCTTCACCCCCTCACTGTGACCCCAACTCCATACATCCCCCCACACTGTGCACCCCCAGTCCCTTCACCTCCTTACTGTGCACCCCGAGTGCCTCCAACCCCTTATTGAATACCCCAACTCTATATAACACTTCCACCCCCCCCCCCTCCCCTCCCCCCTGGTAGTTGGAGGAGCTCCAGCACATGGCATGCCAGTTAGCGGTTTCCCAGGGCGGAGGGATGAGAGGAGATCAGAGGTTGAGTGTAACCGCCCCTGTGCCCCGCCCACACTGCGTCACTGACTACACTGAGCCAGAGGGCCACTATGACAGCCATGGATACCAGCAATGGGCCGGCCGTGTATTTCCCTCCGGGCAGGTGTCCTTTGGAGCTGTAACTGGCGGCTGAGATGACCAGCAGGTCACATGACCTATTTCAACATCAATCAAGAAGCATCAGTAAAAAAATAAAAATAACTTAAAAACACAACAAATATACAGAACAGAACCCAACCCAGGAGCTCCCCAGGAACCGTCATACACAGGGGCCGGAAAAATGGAAAATGAATCTGTGCAGCAGAAGAGGACCTGTCACTTTCCTCTCCATCAGTAATATACGGCCAGTGGTGGGCATGCTAAAGTAAACTATAAAAAGTGAGAGGCCACTTCTGCATTCCTTAAGAGATTCTTAACAGCGAATCTCCTGCTAGATGAAAAATAAAAAGTTAAAATGAACTGCCCAGGTCTGCCGCTGACTGAACAATCATTGCCTGGTCCTGTACCTCTTGGTTCCAGGTCCAGGGTGGTGGCTCCTCGGTGGGGACCCCTTGGCCCTCTTCTCATTAGTGTTAGGAACCTGGGTGACAACGCCGTGAGGTTGGAAGTCACGCAGAAAGTTCCATGAAGTCAGAGAAGCCGTTTAACAGCCAACTGTGTCCCAGGCTAGTGTCAAGCCGGAGCTTCTATTTTATGGCCATTATGAGATGCTCAGGGGTGGGGATTCTAGTTTTATGGCCATGATGAGATGCTCAGGGGTAGGGTTTCCATTTTTATGGCCATGATGAGATGCTCAGGGGTGGAGTTTCCATTTTTATGGCCATGATGAGATGCTCAGGGGTGGGGTTTCTATTTTTATGGCCATTGTGAGATGCTCAGGGGTGGGGTTTCTATTTTTATGGCCATTATGAGATGCTCAGGAGTGGAATTTCTATTTTATGGCTATGATGAGATGCTCAGGGGTGGGATTTCTATTTTATGCTCATGAGGTACTCGGGTGGGGTTTCTATTTTATGGCCATGATGAGATGCTCAGGGGTGGGGATTTTCCATTTTTATGGCCATGATGAGATGCTCAGGGGTGGGGCTTCTAGTTTATGGCCATTATGAGTTGCTCAGGGTAGGGTTTCCATTTTTATGGCCATGATGAGATGCTTAGCAGTGGGATTTCCATTTTTTATCATCATTATGCGATGCTCAGAGGTAGGGTTTCTATTTTTATGACCATTATGCGTTCCTCAGGGGTGGGGGGTTTCTATTTTTATGGCCATTATTCAATGCTCAAAGGTGGGGTTTTCATTTTTTATCATTATGTGATTCTCAGGAGTAGGGTTTCGATTTGTATGGCCATTTTGGGATGCTCAGGGGTGGAGTTTCTATTTTTATGGTTATTATGCATTGTTCAGGGGTGGGGTTTCTAATTTTTATGGTTATTATGCATTGTTCAGGGGTGGGGTTTCTATTTTTATGACCATTATACAATACTCAGGGGTAGGGTTTCAATTTTTATGGCCATTTTGGGATGCTCAGGGGTGGGGGTTTCTATTTTTATGACCATTATACAATGCTCAGGGGTGGGGTTTCTAATTTTTATGGATATTATGCATTGTTCAGGGGTGGGGCTTTCTATTTTTATGGCCATTTTGGGATGCTCAGTGGTGGGGTTTCTAATTTTTATAGTTATTATGCATTGCTCAGGGGTGGGGTTTCTATTTTTATGGCCATTTTGGGATGCTCAGGGGTGGGGTTTCTATTTTTATAGTTCTTATGCATTGCTCAGGGGTGGGGTTTCTATTTTTCTGGCCACTGTATAGAATTGTTGCCACCAATCTGGACCGTTACCATTCTTGGCCCAGGCTGTGAATTGGTCGCACCAACCTAAAGCTCTCGCCCTACCAAATGAATTATTTTTTGGTTAACTCCTAATTAACTCCACCCAGCATCTGTGGGCGGAGCATTAGAATATATATTTTTTTTTATTCATAATACTTCCCTTTATCGTAACGGATTGCTCTTGGCTCCGCCTCTTTCATGTGCATGATCGCATCCAGCGGTGGAAAAAAATGACATAAACACGATTCTGAAAACCACAGGAGCAAAAAAAAGTTTAAAGGGTCACTCCACCCAGAAAGTGATATTCCCGTTCTAAGCAGGGGCCAGCAGGTTACATCACGCACCGTGTTCTTTTAAAGAACTGCAGCAGAAGGTGCGAGACTCCCCCGCCTCGTGGGGCCGGGGCCAGGAATTCAGGGGGACTGACCCTTTAACGTCAGGTGCCCAAACAGACAAATCGCGGTTCGGCTTCAGCAGTTTTTTTTTCAGTAGCAAGTATTCCATAGTGTGAGGTCACACAGTGCAAAGACCACGGGGGGCCACGGGGGCCCCAATATACTGACCAATCGGTGGCTGCCCGGAGGACAGCGGGCGGAGCCAACACTCCGGCCCTTGAGAGGAGGTAAAGAGAGAGAGCAGCTTGGAGGAGGCGGTCGGAGATCTCAAACAGGTCAGGATCCGC